TGACGTTTCGACATCCGTCGCGAATTCATCATCAGAGACATGAGTAGGAAACAGTAGCAGAAACGGGCCAGAGTCAGCGTACTTGGTTCGATATAGGGTCGAGAAGCTTCGAATAGTCAATAGTAGACACCATTTCGGAGAACATCTAGTGCAAATAGGTCTTAGCTGGCTTGTTTAGGCCGCAAACGGCGTGCCTTCGTTTGGGTAGGGATTCACAGCCCTATTTTCCACCAAATGACTTGGCTTTCCACTTTGCAACTGCTGTCGACTTTAGGAACCACTGCCTATTGCACTAATACGTGCGCGTGGGGAAGAGGCCGCGGTTTCGCGTAACATGAAAGGCGAATTGAACAGTCGAAAGTAGTTGATATGGGTCAGTCTTTCGAAAAGAGAACTAAGAACAAACATTCACGAGAACTGTTAAGAGAAGGTGCACTTACGGTTACCATCTGCGGGCTGTTCAAAGGTGATGGTGCTTGGTTGACCGTCAATCTGTATAGTCTCGTAGAGGGCGGAAGGATCGACGGTTCCGTCGTGGGTACCATCAACTGTAATTGCAAACAGAATCACGCTTATGGTTTACCCTCAAGTGTGGGACAACAAATAGCTAAGCGCGTACATGTGCAGCCCTTAGGATAGGAGAGGGGAGGAGTACGTACCTCCAGCGACGGAAACGAGGTTTTCAGCAAAGTAGATCTGATTGCCAATTATATAAATTTCTGACTGTGGGTGTTGGAAAGCTTGAGCAACTTCCTGGGCAGGTTGGGCTGGGGATGGTTGTGCTAGAAATAAAAATATTTGCACCATTAACGAGGAGTCTGTCTCCAGCTGAGGACTGAAAGACGCAATAGGAGGGACCAAACTTGAGGATTTAGTACTGTCCATGGAAGATAGCAGAAATAGGTGTGTGACTGCCTTTGGAATTATATAAAATCCTGAGGGATTTCTAGTTAACTATACTTCTCAGCTCGATATAGATGCAGAATTGCAGATAAGCAGATTTTTTTTACAGAAAGAGGGACGGAAGAGTGGTATCCAAAACCAGATATAACGCAAGCCAGTCGGTCATTGGGTTTCGACGTCAAAAAAATTAACAATACAAAATTCGCAAGGCTATGTGACTGTAGTGAAAAAGAAGAAGTTGACGAAGTATAACTATGTCCATGCTATCTGATAATTCTTCTCCGGAATGGCTATTCATATAAAGTCCATTGCTAAAAGCCGTAGTAGATCGAAAAATAAATGGTAACAAGCCCGATAGAAAAAAAACTTACGAAGAAGAGAGGATGATTGGGGGTCGCCTTGATAAAGGAAGCAAGGAGAGTGAATGAGGGGCATAGAGAAGAACACAAATTTTAAATGGAGCATAACACGAGGCTTATTGCATTAATATGGTTATGATACCAACTTACCGTTAACCCGAACCCTTTTTGGTTTGTCTGAAATAAAAAGTAACAATAAGAGTCGTCAAAAAAACGAAAAGAACGAGGAAATGAAAAAGTGGAAACGTTGAAGATAGTAAGAAAAAAATGAATGAGAACGGGTTTCGGAAGCAGAGGTATGTGCATCGGTCCAATTCTTTAATCTAAAGGGGCGTCCTCACATTGTTAGACAAGAAATTCGAACACCGACCATCACAGTGCTCACGGATAAAGGGATCGATTAAGCGTACTCGTGATCGTTTCTGTGGGTCGCCTTAATCTGATGCTAGCAGGGAGGTATTGTCAGTATAACCATTCGGCGTCCTAGCGTGAATGTAAAATTGCAAAACCGCATAATAATCCAATAAATGATGTAAATAAACAGGACGGACGACAGGGCGCGGCCCTATAAAAGGTCAATCACACATTGAATGGTTGCGCGACGATGCTGGTTCTATACACAAAAACCCATTGATGATAATAAATCTCGCAGTTCAGAAGACATTTGCCATAGAAGTGCCTCATTTGGGCAGGCAGTTGCATATACGACACGGGATTATATCAGTATTATATTGGTAGAAGGGGATCCATGATTGCTGATGGCATTTAGAGGCAGTTTCCTGCATTATACAGTCAGTCAGCTGTATCAGAGTTGGTATATTTAATACGTAGCAGTAGGCTAGGCAGGTAACTCGACCAAAATGTGGTTCAAATCCGCCTCTTCTGGGGACTTAAAGGTGGTTAGAGCGTTCGCTGTAGTCGATCCTTGCCCTTGTTGTCATGCGTTCGAATCCTACCGAGGCCATGGAGTCTTTCAGAATTGGGTTAAATTAATTATTCCAGACTGACAAAAACACCTGTTATGTCTGGGTATTTTTTCGACCGAAAATGTTCTGAAAAGATGGAAGCAGAAAGAAGACGAGGAAATTCAACATACCCGTGTGGAAGCGATACATATGATCATTGAGAACCTGCTTGATAGCATAGCGCCGGCCACACTCGTTGCACTTAAACGGTAAGGTAGCTGAAAATTGGAAACAAACAAACGTTATCTAAAGGCCGGTGGATAAATACACGAGCAGGCAACTCAAAGAGGGCGCAACAGAAGAAGGGTTTTTTCAAGGGAAGAGGTGGTAATAAGTTCAACAGTGCAGAGGCCAACAAAATCCCAAAAAAGTGTGTTCGCTTCTTCGCAGAGGCAACCGTACCCTTATGTTTGTTGACCAGGTGGGCAGCCAGTTGTGAATGTAGGAAAAAGCCCTTGCCGCATTCATTGCAGCTAAAGGGCTTAACACCTTAAAAGAGAGGAAGGATTAGAGTTAAAATTAATTGGCGTTGATAAAAGAAACTCAGACTACGTCATTTAGTATAAGGCAGAGAATAAAGCGAATTTATAAGCAAAAAACGATGGTTGTCGAAATGAGAGCAAGGACTTTAAAATAGCAGGCGGAAGCACAAGTAGACTTACCATTGTGAACACATTCGATGTGTTTTCGGAGATCGCAGCGGGCATAAAAAGCACGATCACAAAGGTCACAGGCAAAACGCTTCAGTTCTGAAATACAGTAAAGTCGTAGGTTATTAAATCGAAGAGGAGGGTTTACGAGAACATGACGGCAGAGACCTGTGGGCGTTAATTAGCTGAAATTTTGAAAAATGCCACTTTTTAAACCTGAAAAACGATGGGTAGCCCTGAGTTCTAGCCCTATAGAGATTAGTACAAAAAGGGATAGGTGCCTCGTGAAGAAAAATGAAAGTGCGAGATCTAGGTCAGGGCTGCTATCAAAATAAAACATGAAAAGGATACAGACTTAGGATGATGGGGAAAATGACTTCGAGCTACGCCGTTAAATTCGGCTGGACCCGTAGTAATACTGCTTCCATAATTGGCAAATCTATGGTTTTCCCCCCGACTTTTACTTGGTTGAGAAGATAGACCTCTAAGCAGAAGACGTTTTCAAAGCACGCTCAGCATAAAATTGATCTCCCAAAGCTGCATTAAGACTACTGAGTTTGCGAGGTATCCGCATTCACAAGACACTAGAGAGCACATTTATTGTGAGTATGGCAAACATTAACGGTAGAGAAAAACGGAAAGGAGCTCGGTTACCTAACGACACATCATAACGTCGAAGTTGTAGTCGAGTTAACAGAAATTTATAAAGGCTACAGCAAGCAAGAGAGAAATGGGCGAAGACTCACGGTGATGAATGGCCTCAATGTGTGTCTTTAAGGACTTCTTGCCATGTAGGATTTTCTTGCAGATGGGACACATGCCGATGACAGAGGCTAAAAAAGGAAAAAAATATCCGCTTTGATTTGGCATACGGAGCAGTGGATAAAAATAGCGGAGACAGCGCAAAAAGGACAAGGACAAGATACAGCGCGACGAAAATCAAACATCGGCCGAATAGTAAAATCACAGAAGAAAACATCAACTGGCTCTGCTAAACACTTATTTAGGTAATCACTGGAAGAGTACTGGGCGAGAAAACAGTTACCCAGGAACTGTTCGACTACAGTAGTGACCACCGGATGTTTATAAAAGATTCTGCAGTAGTCAGTCGCACGATACGCCTGCTCGTTTCTACCACAATCTAAGTATTGCAACAAAGTATGCTAGTTCGTACTTATATGTGCTTTGGCGTAAACAAATCCCACAAAATATTCAATAGTTACATAACCATGACAGACTGGCCGACAGTTAGTCAAGTCATGCTATTATCAAGAAAACAACTAATGATGAAAAAAAAGTAGAAATGCTTACGACCAAAGAAATCGACATTTATCGCCTTCTTAGGACCCTTCAACTCGTTCGTCTCGGCGTCTTAATGAAAAAAAAATCAAGAGTAGAAGATAGACGCTAGGCAACAACAACGCACACGCTAAAAAGAAGTTGCCCATGGCCAAGTGAGGCCAGTAGAATGGATAAGGTGGTAAAAAGTGATAGAAGCAATACAGTATGCATTTAAAAAGGTGGTCTTGGGAGAACAGCATTGACCAATGGGAGCCTACAAGTAAACTGGAAAGCTGGGAAAGTGAACAAAGAAAGCACGGGGAGCAGTTCGAATGTTTACAGTACCTGCAGCCTTAGATTGTTGATTCCAAGTATCGGCCAGTTCGTATTGATACTCCATGAGACTCATTGATTGGGAATAGCCTAAAAGACAATCAGAGCAGACCATTTTAGCTAACAAGCAAAACATAGCTCTGGAAACTAAATTAAAAACAATAAATAGATCGGCTGAAGAGTGGTGAGGAAACATATGACCATAATACCACATTGTTATGCATACTCGGATGTCACTTAAACTGCAGCTGAGAAGAGGAATGAAAAGAGAGTGAGGGCCGCGTCAAGGGGGTGTAATGATGGACGCGACGTGGCTGTGGACAAAATCCTCCCTGTTTACGTTAGTCAAACAGGTTAGATAGACAACCGACACACAGAGACTTTACAGGATTGAGCAGGTAGTTCAACTTGTCTGTGAGACTTTTCTCCTACGTTAAATAGCTTGGCCGTCTACCTAAGTCGCAAAAACGAGGTTTTTGAATAGAGAAGATGACACACTATCACTCGAGGAAACTAACCGACCTTTTTTACCGTTATCGCCACAAGAAGGGCGTAATAAGTAGCTGCGAACTACACAATTATAACTGATTGATGCTCGAGGTTCCTGTGATATATTACAAAAAGATCCAAAAACTCGAATTTTACGAAACTACCATTAATGATTTAGAAAATAATAACGTTAAAACACAGGGAGCGAACCCAGCCTGTACGAAGCGGTAGACAGGAGACTGATTTCTACAAAAGCCGCAGTCACGAGAGATGCACAACAGGAGTATTATGCGATCAATTAGTTTTTTCCTGCGCAACAATCCTCGGTGACAATGACAAACATCCTCTCCTTAACGCCTCAGGTTACGGCCAAGAGTTAGCAGATAATTCAAAGACGCAGGCAACGCACAAATAATAGAAATCCAGAAAATTTTGCGACGAAGTAGGGCTCGAAATACAGCAGGATTTTGGCGTATGTCAAGTGTTCACGGTGATATAACCCTTCTAGAGAATGACTAGCTCTTCCGTCGAATAGGGATTACATAATTTAAAAGTTAATATAAACGGCAAACTTTAGTAAGTAAGGGTTCCTTATAAGCATCATCGTACCGTAGTTTACTATACATGACTAACTACTTATTTCGTTACTTAGCCGTTTTGGCTTCCTATTTCGATATACTTCATCGCACTCGTTGCACGGAATTTTTTACCGAAATGCGGTTGTCTTTTGGTTTATCGTACTACAATATCTGTCCAAAGGCATTAGGAGTAATTGTGACTTTAATAAACGGGAAAAAGCGTATCGAAAATTCGATAAAAAATCGATACACGATTGTCAGTCAACTAATTTGCTCAGGTCTTGTTTCCCATCGGTTTTGCTTTTCAGTGGCTTCAAATTTGTTCTCATTTGTATGACAGCGATTTATTCAAATGTTTTCGATTTGCTTATACCTACTTTTTGTAAATTTTCTAATTATCGCGCGTTTTTTCGTTGCCATACATAAGGTTATGTAAATAATTGTGTGTATGATTGACAAATTTTGTACGCGCTATCTTTTTCTTTCCCTCCCCTAGATATGCCCCACCCGTATAACTTTTATTGCCACCGTTCATTTATTACACAATCCTGGTTTTTTGTTACCGTGGTGATGTTGATAAGGAACTCTTCCCCTATAGTATAGTCCTGGGGTAAGCAAGCGAATATCGAAGCATAAAAATGCCAATTATGAAGGGGGATAAATCTAGCCATAAAATACGGCTTATAAAATAGACAAACTGTAGTAAAATGAAAAAAGGCTAGGAGCAAATAGAGAACAGGAATTTCGTAAGGACTATAGATAACGATCGCAGGAAAAGAGGCGCATTTTGCGTTATGATAAATTGGAACCAGCTCTACGTTAGTGAAGCTGTCCATTACAAGTAGTCACTTCAAAAAACTTACTTTCGGAGTCATCCAGTGAATCGTCCTGTTTGGTAGACTCGCCGCTTTTTCGACCATGTCTCGCATTCTTGTTTTCTTCAGCCAAACTCACTGTATGCAAGCAGAGAGATAGGGAGAGGTTAAACGTCATGCGTCACAGAAGCTGTTTTTGAGAATGATTAAAAATCAACGTCTAACTCAAACGAAAAAAAAACAACGAGAAAATCTTACGTTGTCTTTCTACTTCCTCCTGCAACGTAGTTTTGGACGCACGGAAATCCGCTCGCAATCCAAATAATGAACCGCTGGCGCCTGCAAAAAAAAACAAGGTTTAAATAGGTCTTGTCGACACACAAGTAGGCATAACACAGGGAACAAACTAGAACTCAGTTCGATACGGAGTTCATCTGTCTCACTCGGCAACTACAGCCATGACGGTCGGGGAAACGTGCATAGTTTTTACATCACTCGCCTACCAGAGCGACCGTGATCAAAGGGAGTGACGAAGCTAAAATGTGTGGAGATGGACGTGGGTAGAGTGAGCAATTTGGCTCAAAGCTTTCAGTCGCGTGATGCCCTGCCCATGCTCCACAGAATTCGGACCATGCCCCTAGCTGAGAACTGACTCTTAGTTCCACGGACCAATTTATACGGTCTATTGGCAACTTTGCAAGCTGCGACTGCCAAGAATTCAAAAAGACGAACGCGTTTGACCTCGCACTCATTTTCCATATAAATGTAAGGCCTGACGAGAATTTGTCGAAAGTACACGTATACTCGCCAAACAGGACTTCTGAATTCAAAATCAGTCAAATCAACTTTCCCCCCTTCAGATTTATTTGAAATTTGTTAGAATAATTGTTTAACTTTTGCCACGACTACTGCTTCACGTGTTCGACATCACACATTTCAGTGTTGCAGTTAACACAGATAACAACATACGCTAGCTTCATCTTTACCAGTCTCCATGATCAAAAAGAAGAGTTTCCACCGTGCTGAAGGTAATGACGAAGGTATTGAAAGAATAAAGGCTAGCTAGTGGGGTACTCACCAGGATGATGTTCGCGGATGTGGCACCGAAGGAATTTTCGCCATCCAAATGCTCTTCCACAATGTTCACATTTATACATTGTTTGGCCTGCAAAATTTGATCGGAAAAAGAGGTCAATTCAGTTTCCAGCACACGATGCCTTCTTGGAACCAGATTGTTTCGATGCTCATAAATAGTCAAAGTTTACCTTCTCAATCGCACAATTTATGTATAAATGCATCCCAAAATTGAAATATAACAGCAGAAATCTGGTTTCAGAAATCTAAAAGAAACAAACATGTGCCTCATTCGCAAACACTGCTACGTCGTGAACGATCAGTGTAGACCTATGTCCTGAGAGCTGCACATACTAGCATTCCCAAAGCCTTGTATTTAAGTGAGAAACAATCGGGCGCAAAATCACTTTACGGTAGTTACCAAAGCAGACAAACCTGCCCGGATGAGCCGTTATCAACGAAGAATATTCACCGCAGAACGAGTTGATTGAGCCTGGGCACTGACCGGATTAAACAGCCCTGATTTTTCTAAGATCTGCTGCAAGCAGGCATCTAAACTATTGCTTAAATCAAACAGTACAATGCCAACATTTATGCCTACTAATGAGATCCCAAAAATCTGCAGGCTACTCTTTTTACACTCAACAAGTCACTCCAAATCACCCGTTAAAGGAGATGCAAAAGGACCCCTGAGACTAAAAAGTGGACACGAAAAGACCCGCCGCGAGGTCAAAGTACCAGAATTTACGGAGTTTTTACCGGGATTAGGGTTGGCTTGAAAAATGTAAGCTAGCAAAAATAAACTCACGTTCATGAACTGTTTCCAGGTGCTCCCGCCACTCGTTGATATCTTCAAAGTCCTCTTCACACTCCGGGCAAGTGTGCAAGTTTTCGCCTGAGAAGAGTAAAATACAAGCATAGAATGTTTTAAAAACGCACATGCGTGATACGACACAAGGTAAAAGAAGAGGAAATAATTAGTTCCAACTGCTCAGCCCTCCTGCTCAGACACCCGAGGAAACAACTGACGCATAAACCAACGACTATACTACGCACTCGGCGTGTATAACCACAGGATAGGGTTGGTTTTTAGGTAGAAATTCGTCTATTAAATTTCCCGAGATGACTACGATGCAGTACACTATCGCTACTACTGTTTATATGTATGTATATTATAGGCTGAAATGAATAACCGACAAATACAAGGTAGATTTGGATGGCCACTTCTGGCTTTCTAGCCATCAGCAGCCAGCCATACCCAACCCCAGTGGTGGCAACCACCAAGGCTCGAATCCGCAACCTTGTTAGCTAGAAGTCCAACGCTCTAACAAACGAATTCAGGGCCCGACAACTGTGCAGGTAAGTCAAAACCAAGAAAACTCAAATGAGGAACAACTGACCAAAGTGGACACGTCGTACGTGCTCTGCTACGCCAGCAGCCGTATCGAATCGGGCTCCACAGAGGTAGCAGCGGGTTTGGGGGAAAGCTGTTTGCGGATGAAGGGGCGTTAAAAGAACGCACCAGTCAGCAATAGTTGGATAAAAAAAGAAACGTTTATAATGATCGAGTAGACTCACCAGTGTGGTGCTCATCAACGTGTTTCTTCATATGCTCGGTCGGAATGACAGCTCTACAGGCCAAGCATCGAGATTCGCCATCTCGAACATGCTGTTGGTAAGCTGCGATGGCTGCTCCCGGCTCGCGGCCTATTATTTGGAATATTTTGTTTTTAAGATAGGGCGAAAGTTCACAGAAAAATGATAAAAGATAAAAAAGAGGAGATCTCAAGAATCCCAAGTCCCTTTTCTTAACGGTTTGACAGTTTACAAGCTTCCGCTGTTGGGTGATGTGGTTTCGTAGCATTCAAATGGCTATGCCCGCATTGGTAAATTGTCGGCAAATGCCATCTGTCCGCTGTTGAAGAAACGTGTGTGTCATCGATGCGGCTACTCTTCATCGACCTGCGTTGATGGGAGGTTGTTTAATTTCGATGGGCCAATTAAATCTATTTAGGATGCGGATGGCCTTCTTCTTCCCGTTCTTAATTTTGTACTCAGAGTGGTCAGACAGAGTAGTTGGCAGCACAAACTTTAAGTAGAAATGCAGTGATTAGAAATACCAGATGAATATGTAGATCCCAGACAAGTTGAAGACCTACGGGCAGGACGAAGAGAACTGTTGTCTATACGACATTCTTCTCTCGGCGGAATGTCATCACCTGCAAAAAATAAAGGGGTTAGAGACATAAACATATAATGAATGCCATAAAAAATTGATAAAAGGCAGCATCGAAAATGATTGAAAGAAAGTAGTATTATAATCGGGTACTAGGAAATGGCTACAGGATGACACAAGGTGACAGTTAAGGATTTGTTGATGCTAGGTTTTTAGTAGTTGCATGAAGTACACAAGCCGTATTCTTACAGTGATGCGAAAGCACCAGGTGCTTAATGAGCTTGGGATAGTAGAAGAAAGCTCGGGGACACTTGGGGCACTGGAAATTGAACAGTCCTGAAACGGGGTAAAAGAGGTTATCAGGCTAGAGGATGAAGTCCCTGGAAAATTTAACAAAACAGTTTTCAGCCGCAAAAAACGGACACCTTACCCAAGTGGACAGTCTTGACGTGGACACGCAAGTTGTCCACGGAGGAGTAGTTGCGCCCACAGATAAAACATTGCGACCGGGGGAATCCTGAAAAAAACACATGAAGAGACTGCAAAGCGCAAACCAAACGAATCAACAAACAAATTTGAGTACGCAATCGTCGAACCTGGAGACATGAAAGATAGGGGAGTGAAATCAGGGAAACTTACGTTTGTGCTTCTGCTTCACATGTGCCTCCAGGTCATTGGCCATAAAGGCAAGACAACAGACGAAGCAAGTGATGGCTCCGGCTAAATGCAAAAATTACGGGTCATTTCACCCAGGCTGACTGATACGACTGACAATAGAAGGGTGATTTATAATGCATGAAATTGATGGGCTGCCTTGAGGTAAAGTTTTTGGTACTTTGCCGATCGGTGCCGAAATTTATGCCAAAACCTGAATAGTCACATAATATTCAAATAATTTAAATGAGTAGTAAGCAGTGTATTCAACGTCTACAAAAAACAGTTTCCAAACACTCCTAATATATGCAGTAGACCAGTGTTTCGCCACTGTTCCGCTGCTATATGATGCAACTGCGAAAGCTCCGGCTGCTCGATTAGGCTCCCACCGATTTGGATGTGGTTGTTAGCATTCACACAAGATTTGTCTACTGATTTTATAAAAGTATGACCGTTGTCTTAAAAATCCAAGACAGAAACAGCGTGGTAAATGGAGGTTCGATGTGTACCCACGACACTGAACACCCTGTGATTTTCTCTTTGAAGGTAGACAAAAACGAGGAAGTAATGCTGCTATTTGTGGAACACTGGTCAAAAAGACCCTGTAGGCGACGAGTAACTCTGTTTAAAAAGGGATGCAAAGACAACGACGGTTTTTGCAGCACCATCGACGGCATCAAGCCTATACCTGCAATAACTGTCTTTTTTACTACACACAGTCAGATGAACAGTAAAACAACATGTTACTACGCCAGAGATTTAGGATAGCTAAGGCTTTCCTACTTGGTAGTAATTTTAGCGAAAGGAACCGTTGGAGCACAAAATGGCAATAGAGAAGATCAGCTTATTTCTTCGCAAAAATACCTATTTAAAAAAACTACACCTGACTACATAGAAAGTCGTTAGCAAATTTTCGAATGAAAAATGGGGCGAAGGATCTCTTTTACGCCAATATGTTGTGTGGGGGTCGTGTGAGCTTTCCATGTGGTGTTTTTTTGAAAGACTTGGGGTGTAACAAAAAGAGCCTGGTGGGAACTTACGGGTTTCATCTTCCACGGCTAAAATAGAAAAAAGGGGCTTGACTTTTCTGTCACTCGAAAAATGCACTTTGCAATATGCATAAAGAAAATACGTAAACGTACGTTCAATTATCTTCTCTGTTAAAAGGGATGTATATAAAGGTGATTAGTAGAGTTCATGGCAAAAATAAAATTAAAAACAGCAAATAATAAAAATGTTGATGGTGGTCGAAAAGGTTGACTATTGAGGGAAGAATAGAAAGGATACTCACGTTTGACTACTTGCGGTAGGAAAACTGCTAAAAAGTTCAAAAAAGAGATGTGATAAGCAAGAGATTGACAACAAACGCACTAGCTTGTTACACTATTAAAAGAAGTCGGCCGTGTCACGTCTCAGAGTTGTATCTCACGGATCGAAGTATGTTTTCAGGTTAGCACACTACCGCCCATTTGACAGTAGCGTAACTATTTGCTTACTAACTAAACTACACCTACTATCTCACCGTTGGTAGGTTCAGCATTAACAGTCAAGTCCTTTATAGGACATTTTTAGACTCACTAATATTGTTTCCTGTTCATTTTGTATTTCATTGCTTCTTTCGGATAACCGTATTTTTCTTGTTCACTGCCTCCCTTATTATTTGGCTGAATCTTCCATCTTATTTCGACGTCAACTGCCACCATCGTACTGGTGGTGCGCTTGAATATATCCGGTTTGGGAGTGCAGCGTTTACCTGTTGCTTATCCTCTCACGCTATAGAGCCATGCCTTCGTCCAAATCGGTTGTTGACCATGTTTTTACTTATGGACTGCAAGAAGTGAACGGGCTTAAAGCGGCCAGATTTAGTCTACCAATTATATCCAGGTTGTGAAAGTAAGGAGGATCAAAACATTACTTTAAAAGTACACTAAACGCCATACGGTTGGGGATTACTTACCTTTAGGCGGTTCGCGCGCTGTAGATTAAAATAGAAATAGGAATAAAGAGGATAAAATTTGTTGAAAAAGAAGCAAACAGCACAGAGATGTTGGTAAAGAAATTGGTGAAAGGACCAATTTTGAGGCAACCATCAGCTACTTGTTTAATCAGCCAGTAAACCAAGTAGACAGCCAACTTTTTCAGAAGAGCGGGCTTAAAGTGGCAACTGAAGTATTTGGATGGGTTTTCTGTGTCTTGATCAGGCACTAGGAGCCTTCTAACCCCGCGCTCATTTGGGAATCAGGAGAAGGGGTAAAAGTCAAGACTTACCAACCACCGGCTGGACTGCTACAATGCGGGAAAAAACAAATATTATAGTACAGCACATTTTCCGTAAGCTCCAAAGAGTGCAAACCAGCTAGGGGCAGCTCACGTTTTGTTTTTGGTTCGACAACTTCCTTTTCTGGCGTAGGCAAGGTGGGCTTTTTAGGTGGCGAACTGCTTGATTCTTTGGGCGGCGAATTAATTGGTTCTTTAGGCGGAGAACTGTTTGCTTCCCTGAGCGGCGAATTGTCTGGTTCTTCAGGCGGTGAACTGTGTGGTTCTTTAAGCGGCGAACTGTGCAGTTCTTTAGCCGGCGAACAGCTTGGTTCTTTAGGTTTGGAAATGACGGTTTTCTTAGGCCGCGAATGGATCGGTCTTTTAGGCCGCGAATTAATCGGTCTTCTAGGCTGCGAACTGATCGGTTTCTCCGCCTTCACCGTGACATCACGTTTGAGGTAAGCGTCAATAAGGAGCCTGTCCTTGGACAAATCAACGCAAGGCAACCGCCTTCTTGAAATAATTTCTAAGAAAGATGGCACAATTTGAAAAACTGGTGTAGGTAACGAACATGAAAAGAGGAGCGAAAACAGTGCGGGAGAAACACCCAAGGCATGCAAAGTATTAGCAGCAAAGGGCGGAAGGGACGGTATTGTTACCTTCTTTGATGGCTTCATATTCCTCTGGACTGAGACTTGGCGTGGTCCGTGCACTCGTCTTTTGAGGCGTCAAGGCTAGTTCCGACAGACCGTGCCTGGTTCGTTCATTCAGAGCAGAGGGCCTGGGTAAAGTTCCTGAGGAAAAGAAAGGGTTGGAACACACATTCCACGAGACCGAACATGAGTAGATAAGGCTAGTAACTTACTTCCATGTTCTGAAGCCGTGTGCATGCGGAGACGACCTTCGTCTGTGAAGGTTCTCTCGCACCAGCTACAGACCAGTAGCCCGTTGGCTAAAAATAAAAGACGTCTTTATTTAGATGGCCGAGTGACAGGAAGACATAGTAGCAAGAACTTGAAGCAAAATGCCTGTGTACTTAAAAAAGGGACAATAGACAAGAAAAGAATAACTTATGTGGTGATCTAACTACCATTCAATACATCATTAACTTAAAGGACTGCTAACGAAATCTGTTAAAACCGAATGTTAGCAATTCAACGTAAAGGTCTGCAGGTCATTGGATAAAGGGACTCGTGTTAAACTTGAGTTTCATTCAAGTCACCTAGTAAGAGGCATTGGTACAGAAAAATATGAGCCGGACACGGGGCTCTACTTATTTAAACTGATACCCCACCTGTGGTGAGCACAGCTGACAGGCAAGTAAGAAATTTATGTAACATTTGACCGACGCGCTGAAACGTAAAAACAGTACATGAGTACCACCGTCTTTGAAATACTCAACAATGCTGGAAAACGAAAGTTGCCCAACTCCCTTCAAAAAAGCAAATGTCTGGTTTACTGCCAATGCGCCCAACTTTGATTTAAAACTAACCTAATGACTTAATCTGCCCTTAACCTGTTGGAGTTAGCCTATGGCGAGGCCCGCAGAGATGAACAGTCTTTGGGCAGACACGCCTATAAGTATTCACCGTCGAGCTGCCCAGCATTTGACTATACCCTTGAGGAACGGAGGAGAATGGATTTTGGGGTCAGCCGGCGGTGTATTACAGCTATCTCCGTCATGCGGATCT